ATGTAGACTTCATAAACATGGCTGTATAATTTTGATTTTTTTGAATACATTGTGTTTCTATATTTTTTTTGACGACAAAAGGTATGTACTTATAAAGGCATTTTCTTTTTTTGTTAATGTTATTAGCATATCTTTGTGCTTTATTATCCTGGTGACAGTTACCGTTCAATGTAGGCTGTGACTTGCGCTGCTTTTTTAGAGCACTTGGCAAATCCGAAATGCTTCTAGCTGTATTTGTATGCACTTATTTTAAAAAGAAAAAAAAAAGCCAAATACATTTTCTGACATTGTAAGATTGCCTTACTGTCTGTTATTCCTTACTGCTGGCCCCTCTCTCAGGCCCGAGGCCAGTTGGTGGAGAAGGAAATGGAATGAGCGAAGGGGGCACTGTTGTGAAGTGGGCAGCATGCCACTGAGAAATGTCACCAAGTTTACCCCAAAACATTGTCCTCTCAGAGTAGCAGGAAAACAGATTTTGAGTCTTTCTCTGTTTTGTTCTTAAAGTTCAGTTGTTGGGATAGTGATGACTGCCTGAGAGTTGCTGCTGAGAGATTTTTTTGGACTGTGTGGTTTTGGGGAGGGGGGGATTTTTCTTTTTTTTTGGAAGGCAAAGTTGACCACTGTTCACTGCCCACGTGATCAGTTGTAAGATTACAACGCTGCATGCTCGTTGGTTACATAATACACAATTCAGTGACTGAAGGGCGGTGATGATGGATGGTGGTGTGTGCAAGATGGCACTGCCGTCTTTGAGCAGAGCCCGGCTCCGCAGCGTCACCTTGTCTTTTTAAATACCCCAGAGCCCTGTTTGGTGGTGGTGGTGGTGTTTCCTTTGAAAAGAGTCACGAGAGAAGTTACAGTTCAGGTGAACTTGGAGATTGTGGGATTGGTTTCGTTTCTGTTTTGTGTTTCGTTTCGTTTTGTTTTTTTATCATTTACCTGTAGTGCTATTGCTGTTGGTACTATCACCTACCCCTCGTTTCTAGTGAGCGCTAAACGCGGTATGGTACGATGACAGCAGCTCGCGGTGCCGCCGGGACTGCCCGTGGGTATATCAGTGACAGCCCAGATGCGGGTGGAGGAGACCTGTAATTTCCTTCTTACGTGTGTTTGAAATACCGAGTGAATAATACTGTTCCTCTGGAAAAAAAAAAAATGATAAACTAGTGAAAATTAAAGAAAGGGTTTTAATAATAGGCAGGCCCCACCTCTCAAACTATTCTTAGAAACCTTTTGTAAACTAATTTCTTTTGATTACTATTTTGCATCAGTAAAATGATTTTTTTAAACCAATAAATCATCTGTTATTAGAAATAGTCGTCTCACAGTGATACTGGTTTTTCTTTTGTGCTGTTACGATTTAACATTGACAGGAACACTATTTTAAATCCTTTTATGTTCAGGTGTTTGTAACTTGGCCCTATAATTAGGCTGAATCATGGCTTCAAGGTCTACTACAACTTACGTGTATCGTTTATGACCCAGCTTCTATTTTAATTTGAAGATAGAGATTGTTACCCTCTTTGGAGTCTTTTTTAGTTACGTTTTTGTCTTTTTTAAATTGCTCAAATACTTTTTAATGGTCCGTTTATTAACACTTGAAAATCAGATACTGCACCAAATACAGTATTTTTGTTGTAGTGTTTTTAATGAGGGCACCTATTATTAATGCTGTGCAAATTCATGTTACCGGTCATTGTTATATTACAAACAGACTTGCATGATTAACCAGTTTGTTGTTACACTTTTTTTTTTTTAATTGGCGCATCTATGACTCAGATCAGACTGGTTTCTCTTATGTAAATGCACACATGCAGAAACAGTCAATTTTACATGCCCATAAAGACATGTGTAAAGAATTCAACTATTATGGTTTGTTGTATAAATGTGTATCTAAGCACTTTATTATAAACTGGAATTTGACCTCATAGATTTTACAAGTTGATCAGTCATTTGACCTAATTCGTGGTAGCTATCTGTATGCTTTGCAGTCTCAATACAGATAAGCTTTCTAAAAAAGATTAGTAAAGAACCATCCTGCTGTTTTGAATAAGTCTATCCAGCTGTGGAAAAGACAACCTATGGTTTCTCTGTGCTGGTGTTTAGGGAGCGGGGGAGAACAGGAATAGCTTTAAAGGGCTGTGTGTTGAGGTTACTCCCATTAAAAACTAAGGTCTGCATGAGGCTGCCTGGCCCTTGGGTGGCCTTCGTGGAAGGCTTGCAGCTGTAAAATGTTGATCCGGGTTATTTTTCTGGCATTCTCTTAAGTTAAAAAGTTAACGCTGGGGCATGGGTTTGATCTTTTGTTGTACCTGATGGCAGTGCAGACATCCTCCACAGCTGGATAAAAATGTCAGAGAGCTACTTACTGTACATGGGCAGTATCCGATTTCAGATCCTAAATATTTCAGCTGTGCTTTTAATACTCAAAATATTAGGGGATGGGGTGTTGAAGCTTTCCCTTTTTTGCTTTAACATTTATAGAATTTAACAGATGTACGGTCTTTCATGTGGCCTCACATTAAAAGTTATGAGAACGTACACATGGTTTACAACTTTTACTATATACCTTTCCTTGGCCACCAAGTATTTTTAAAGTGTGCCACCGTTTAACCTTTACTTTTTTTTTAAGTTGAAGGTGATACTTTTTCTATATATGATGAAACTCATGTCAGCTGAAGTGAGTGTAATCTCAGATACCAACATTACTATATTTTAAAATCACGCTATGGAAAAATCACCTGCATTCTGTCATGTGTCAGATTTACAGTACCTTTTTTTTTCTTTAACTTTTAGCATTAAATAAAAATAAAATTGGGAGCACTGAACATTTTCTGAGGCCTTTTTTAATTTTTTAAAGTAAGCTCAGAATGGCTATTGTTTTAATCACTAATGGCGATGTGACCAAAGGATGTGTGGGTTTGGGGTTGGGGTTTGACTGGAACTGCAGGAGAAGAACAGGAGATAAAAGACCCAGAACAACAAGGCAACCGATGGTAGGGGGGTGGAAAAGTGCTAGGGAACGGGGAAAGGGCAACTGGATAAGGGAAACAGATAAAGAGAAGAGCTGAACAAAGTACAGCCCCAAAGCACTTGTTTATTTTTCAACTTGCTGTACCGCCAGCCACTCTGCAATCGTAGACTGGAAGGAAAAGATCCTGACAACACTAAAAAGGCTGTCGAGACATGGAGTTCCTCTCTGGAAAGCTCTGGAACGAAACGGCCATGATGGGCTGTGGGAAATGCACTGAAGACAAAAGGGGGGGAAAACAGCCTACCTTTTGGAAAGCTGTGTAATAAAGACAGAGCGAAAGCCAGGTGTGAGGTTTATTGACGTCCTGAAATCTGAATTTATAAATAAGAGATAAGAGGTGGGAAGCACCAAGACCCATTTGCAAGACATCGGAAGACAGTTCCTAGATGTTTGCAGCCTTTTCATTTTATTGATCAGTGGCTTGGCAGACTCCTAGGAAAGGAAGTTGCGAACCTGACAAAAGAGTTTGAGGATAGGGTGCACACAAAACTGACTATGTGTTTTAAATTAGACAGCAACTGTTAATGTGTAGCCAAATATATTTTCAATAGGGGTGGTCTGGGAACTTGGGGGACCCATCACTATGTGTGTGTCAATAATTTTTTTTATTAGCCTGCTTAAGGCAGTTTTCAGGAAACTATTCTTAATAAGTTAATTATAGCTTATAATACACAACAAGATGTTTCATTTAGTAATCAGGTTAAAAGAAATGTTGAACTATTTTTTTTAAATTAAAAATGCTAAATTTTATTTTTAGTAAAATTTAAAAGACTGCAGCTTGCAGAAGTCATTTTTAAAATTTCAAAAGCTCCTCCCAAAGTAAACTTTAATGATTGCATTCAGTTTCCAGTTAAAAAACCAAACAAACCAGACTCTTGATGTGGCAGATGTCTTTGTTTATTCCCCAAAGGAGGGAAAAAGTTAAAGGGAAAATACAGAACTCCTTTTAATTCCTAGACTTAAGTCCCTCGTTACACAAAGTTTTGCATATGATTTATAGATGGTTTTATTTGGTTAGTGAAGAGTAAAATGTTTCTCTTCCTGATTCCAAAGTGTGTACGTGGAATCATTCAGAAAAATGTTCAGTCGTGTGTAGGCCACTAGAAGTCCTGAGTCACCCTCATTTGCTTGCCTTCTCTTCGTAGGGAACAGTGTGAGAAGACACGCCTTTCCTCTGTCACAGACCAAGGTCAGAGGCACCAATGAATGGAATACATATTTACCTACTTCATCATCTGGGGTTCTAGAAATGAGAGGCGTGGGGGATGCTGTTTAACTCCTTCAGTGCCAACCGTTAGGCCTCTGACAGCAACAGTATTGATTACAATCAAATAGAAATTATGGCATAACTTCCCAGATTATTAATAATCTAGAGGCTTTGTTGCTGTTCTCGTTGACTACCTGCATTTTCCTTCAGTTATGAGTCCTGATAGTAATTTAAAAGGCACACAAATACACAAGAAGTCAATTTGTAAATTCAGAGGTCAGAAGGTAAAAAGTGACTGGATTTATGGATTATCTGTGGATTTATTTCTCTGTTAATCCCCAGATAAGACCATAATTAGGGATATCCATACTATCCCTATTTACCATTAACTAATTCGTACCTAATTTAACAGTGAACTTTGTTTTAACCCATTAGTCTGTTGTTACCTGCTCCTTCAGTATGTCGATACAATTTCACATGGTTGATTTTAAAAAGCTTTCCTTTTTTAATTTGAGATATCATTTATTAAAAAAAATTTTTTTTTAATCTTAGAATCAAAATCTACATTGGCACTGATCTTTATCACAGAATATTGTGTGCTTCTGTATGGCACTAAGTGGCATAAACCAACC